TACGGAACAAGTGTTGTGTATTCTTGTCTTGTAAGATATCTTGTATTATGAAATTGCATTTGGGAAAATGTTTATTTATAATATACATAAAGAGAAATATAAATTTTAGCCGGATCTTTTAAATTTGTATTAGAGGAATTACTATTTATTTTTTTATAAGACATAATGAATATATATATCTTTTAAATTTGTAAACTTAAACTCAAAATAACTTTATTCATATAGGTAAACAAGTAGTACACTTGAACGAATGATGAACAGAAAAGAAGTTAAAATGATTCCAAATTTACATTTACTACCAGTTGGCAAGTCAAGGGCGGGCAAGAAGATCTGGCAATACACTCTCCGCCACTCTTTTTTGAGTCATACAAATTGTTTGAACTTAAGCAAATTAATCCTAAGGATTAGGATCATATATTCGTCAAATTTATAAAAAGCTTCACTAAATTTACGTTTAACGAGAGTTTGTTGTAAAAACTTATACAATTTCCATATAAGGAGTGGTTTATCTTCTGGAGCCTGGTTGGTCCGTTACAATTTGTTTCGTCATTTATGTACCAGTACATAATGAGTCTTATAAGGCTGATAATTTTAGTTGACGTTTCCGAGAATCATAAATGTATGACATCATAAAAGTAGGTATAATTATTAATTCATAGATTTAAAACTTATATTAAATTATAGGTTCAATCTTTAAAATATATCGCGATTGGGACAAAAATTAAGTACCTAACTTAACGTTTAGGCTTCACATTCGGATTAGACACAGTTAGATTTTCCTTTCTTTCTAAAACATTAAGAATACGGGCTTGTTTTTGTCTAAAATTACGTAAAATTACGAAAATTACGTACTCACTTTTGCTTTTTTTAAGATACTAAAATTCCAAGTACCAAGAAATAATAAAAGAATATATAATGCTTAAATATTGTTTATAATAATATAAATGCTTTTTACTAACCACGACCCGACAGCCGTCTTAAATGATTTACTTACCCCGAAGACGTTCTCACGTAAGCCTCTTACGGTTTCATGACAACCTGGTACCACGAAAAGCAATTTGCGACATTTTGTGTGACATGTCGCAAGATCCGGGCTCTCCCGCTTAATTTAAAACATGAAATAAGATTTGTTTTGTTATGTGTGAACATTTTAAGGTCTTCTGTTGACCATAAATACTACGCACTAGCACGATTACAAAATCTATCAATTCCCTAAACTAAATTTGCAAACATCAACAACACGTAGTTACAATTTTCTTTATTAGCTTAGAAGAGTTCGCTTAGAAGTCATTTAAGGCCACCTGTTATTTTAAATATTGTATATGTAAGATTTGGGAATGAAGGACCAGATGGGTACCATGTCTCAACCACTATGTCACACAGACGTTAATAATTCCATTAGGCGTGCAAAAACAGTGCCGTATTCCTATTTCCGCGAGCTGTGTTGAGATTTGCATTTTAATCGAACTAAACTGGAATTTAGTATATCATCCTATGAGGCTTGAAGCTGAAAGGCATAGCTTTGAAAACTATTTATCAACTAAAATTGATTAAATTTTAAATAGGAATTATAGTAATATAACAGGGCGTCCCAAAATTATGGGAAAGTACCTTAAATATCGTAGATAGGGTATTTTACTGAAAGAAGACTTTATGTTATTTTTAAATGTTAGTAGTTCTGCATTCAAATATTTTCTAAAAATTGCTTGCCTCGTTTGGGAATCGAACCGCAACGAAAATTTTGGCCCGGGGCCCCCCCCCCCTTTTCCCCATTTTTACCGGTATTTTTGTTCATTACCATTTTCAGCCTAACTTAATTTTTATTTTTAGTTTGATGCGCTTTAAAAGCCTTTTTTTTTTTTTTTTAAACAATTTTTTTCCTCCCCTTTTTTTCCCCCCCACCAATTCTTTTTTTTTCTTTTTTTTTTTTTTTTTTTTTTTTCCCTTAAGCGCCTTTAAAACCTGTTTTTTTTTTTTTTTTCCTTTTTTTTTTTCCCCCCCTCCCCCCCCCCCCCCAACCCCCAAAAATATCATTGTTTCAGATAAACCTATGAAATTCTTATAGTGCCCTATCTTTTATGATACCAATCGAAAGAATGGCCAAAAACTAAAAACTCTTCTTAAGTACACATAGAATTTTAAAAGAAAGGAACAGCGTGAAATTAATCATTTAATCAAATTAAAAACATTATTTATCGTATTTGGTCTAAAGAAAATCCCCTACGAGTCACTGAAACGAATGACCAAGTGCGTTTTTCACTCAACCGTTGGTGCTGAGTTTTTAAAAGCCGGGTTTTCTTAATCCAACTTTACCAAGGAACCTTGAACAGAAAATTATTTAGTAATATTTCAAATTTTAAGAGATGAGATAAGAAATCATTCCGCGGCGGAGCAGCAAGGAGCTGCGGGGAGACTTCCTAAAATGTTTTCCTACTTGGATTGGTACGAATGGACCGACTAGATGGCCAGCCAGATCCCGGACTTTACACCATTAGATTTCTTCTTTTGGGGATACGTGAAAGATATGCTAAAAAAAAGGGATGCGAGAACGTGGAAACAAACAGAATTGTGCCATATCATATCGAGTATTCACCAAAAAATAAAGATAGATATATAAAGAACAGAAATCCTCTGAGCAGTGAAGTCGCTCCTTGAACCCTACGAAGTGCCCAGGATACTTCTGTGCTTCTGGAAGGAGCTAGGCTGGCGTACTTAGCCAGGACTTTAGGCACAACAGACCTAGTGAGAGTCTAAGTGCGGAAACTGTGTCCACCAAGCTAACCCAAGAATATATAAATTATAAAATAGCGTGCCGCGTGGTTATTATTTACACTTTATGTCAATTATAATGCGTTTTTGACATACGAGACTCACAATTTCCGGCTCGCTTATCGTCTATTTGTTTATAGAAAAATATGTACGCCTTAGGCCAAAGTAGGGTTGGGCCAGGGGTACTTTATAGATTTTGCCTCAGCAGTATCTGACTTTTGCAGATCATAATAATGACCGAAGTGTGGGTGCTAAAGCGTCCGAGAGTAGACGGGAGATTGTTTAGAATGCCAAGAAGAAGGAGAGATTTCGGAGACTGACTGCCGACCTTTACTCATTCACACCACAAGGGAGAGTATTTTGCCTTGTCACTTCTTTTTTATACAGAACTACAGTGAGATGAGGAGGACTCGCCTGTCCAGGAGATGCCTGTTTAACCACCGCTTAAATGAACCAAAATATCTTTTACAACACAAAATTTAAAAAAAAATATTTTAGTACGCAATTCATTGAAAGCTTTTCTTTATAATTTCAATGATAAACTGATGGAAAAACTGTAAGCACCAGGAAAATTGGGGTTAAACTAATAAAACCTTTATTTGTCAAAATCGCATTTCAAAGAATAAGGTTCAAAGGATTGTTTCGAAATGTTGAGATCAAAGTTTAAGTTGTTTGACCAGTTCGCTTTGTAGCGGAAGGAATTTTCAAATAAATTATTCATAAACTTACATGTATTTAATTTATCTTTTGAAACAGTTAGAATTTAGATTCGTCTTTTTGGTTACGGGCTGATGACTTCATATCTGTTTCTTCTTGTAGGCTAATGTGATCAAAGGCAAGTTCTCCCTCTCTTTCCATCTTGTTGTTATGTATATTTAACCGTCCTGTTTTTGTCAATAGCAAATTGTAGTTACGCTACAATTTTGAATTGGAGGTGGTGAAAAGAACTCGTAGGATCACATTATGTATCACATATAACAAGAATATAAATCAAACCGTAGCTACCTATATAAAATACGTAAAACGTAGGGAGTTCAATTCTTAAAAGGTCGGCAACGCATTTGCGAGTCTTCTGGCATTGTAACATCAGATGAGACTCTTGTCCGTTTGTTGTCAAAAAAACATTTTATAATGCTTTTTATGTTGAATTTGAATTAAATGTAATTTTAATTTTAAACTTTATGTAAAATAATTCTTATTATTATTTTTTTCACATTTTTATTTTTAATTTACAGAACTTTTACACGGCTAGTGTCTAATCTAATACGCCATTTAAATAGACACAGATAATATTATCTCTTAACATCAGCTGAGCGTCCTGCCATTTTGCCTCCTGTTACATAAAAAAACAAAATATTTGTCTCTGGTTATTATTAAACTGTATACGAATGCGTGGAAGCGGAAAACACGTGTACTGCTGACCCATAATTGCCGTTAATACCCAGTTATATTACGAAACTGTGTAAATATAGGTAAACTTTGAGCTCTATTTCCTTTCTATTTTCGTCAGATGTAGTATCACTGCTAGCGATGCGTTTTATATTTATTTTATTACCTACCTACCCACCTAGCCACATAACTATTCTTTACAGTTACTAGTAATACAATAGAACTACACAATTATACCTACACCAATAATTCTACGATTTAAAATACACTTAAACAAATATATATATGTACAGGGAAAGGTCGGATTATCAGCAATGTACTGATCTAGTCAATTGACGGGCGTGTTCTTCCCACGAGAATGTAAGTGCGTGCTCCTATTTCACCATGTCCCCTGCTGATAGGGGACAAATCTTTGTTTTAAATTTTTTTTATTATTAATTACTTAAGGTGTTATGTGGAACTTTTATTTTTTTTAAATTATTTATTAATCTTTTAGGATCGATTAGAACTACTTTTTTTAACGTTGTTATCAAAAACATTCAATCGCTATTACTCACACCACAAATACAATAACGCTGATATCCGATAACTAATTGGCACAGTCGACAGTCGGAACAATTAATAGTGTTCTTATAACTACTCTTTCACTTTACTTTGCCCATTAATCTTTACGTCCATAAAATTCAGAGAGACATTAGAGACGCAAGACTCATATCTACATTATACAACCTAAGGTACCTATATTATATATAATAAGTTAAAAACAATCTCAAGTGATGCGTAGGAATGGTTTTCAGCTATAAAAGCACGGCGTGCGCTGTGGTCGGGCTCGATCCCACCAGTTATGGAGTTTCCAAGTAAATCCCGACAAGAGCGTCGCAGTTCTCTTTGCCAGAGGCCACCCCGGTGCTATCGCTCAATCTTGGGGAAAAATCCGCTTCACAAAAGAGGTACCACTGACAAGCCATCCCGTAGCAAAAGTCTCGATAGCCGCCGTTTGCACCTCGGCGGGAGAGAACTAATCTCTCTCGCCTCCATTCCTCCTGAATAAAAGAAGTCTGAGGTCCCATAGACACAAGGTGACACTGTACAAGGCCTGCATCCGATCATGCATGACCTACGCTAGCATAGGCTTTGTACATTGTGTCGGCTCCCATAATCACCGGCGACCTGGAGGCCCTACCATAGCTCAATGAAGTTTGCGTTCACACGCCTCTTGGACACGGCTAAACATCATCCCATCCCATCATCTGTTCTCGACAAAATCAAAACTAGAATAGGGTGAAAAACCGCCTTCACCAGGAAAGGCGGATCTTTACTTCGCACTTCGCAGATGCTAGTGACCTTCCGTCCTGCCCTTCAGGCGATTGACTTCTCCGCGACGGCTCAAACCAAGGTCCTAGCGTCGCACTAGGTGACCTTGCGCTAGTCGCGGGAATAAGTCCATAGCCAAAACAGCCCGAGCTGAGCTGTAAAGGCCATTAAGGCCAACAGCGAGATTTCATTTCATTTCTTCGTCGCTGGGACCAGATATAAATGTTTTATTATTGTATTGTTATTTGTTGTTTAAAAATTTATCATGGTGTATTACTTCACAGCCACAAAATAAACTGTGAATATCCACCATTTTTCGTTTATTTTTATTTCAATTCCGTATTAGATAACATAAAATTGTTAGAATGCATAGAGTTAAAAAACAGCGTACAACATATAAAATCAACGAAAACCCCGCAAAAGCTTTTGGCAATTAAAATCGTATTTTCCAAAACAAAAAACTGCAACATGTGCCGATTTTCAAACCGAAACAATTTTTATTCTCACAATTTTATTGTAGATCGTCTGCATATGAAAATGTTTCGTCTATTTCTCGTTTTTATATTTATTATATATATAAAAAGGTTATATATTTATTATATATATATAAAAAGATCAGTGTTGGCCTAGTGGCTTCAGCGTGCGACTCTCATCCCTGAGGTCGTAGGTTCGATCCCCGGCTGTGCACCAATGGACTTTCTTTATATGTGCGCATTTAACATTCGCTTGAACATTGAAGGAAAACATCGTGAGGAAACCGGCTTGCAACCCATAAAGTCGACGGCGTGTGTCAGGCACAGAAGGCTAATCACCTACTTGCCTGTTAGATTAAAAAATGATCATGAAACAGATACAGACATCTGGAACCCAGACCAGAAAAGTGTTGTAGCACCATTGATTTATTTTTTTATAAAAAGGTTTATCACCCCCGTGACGTAACAATGCATTTAACCATGTCACGGGTTCTGGAGTTTATAGTTCTGGGATTTCTCTATCTGTAAAGCTAAACAATTGATTATTAGTAGTTGCTATTATTAGTATCAATTCAAAATTTCATCAACGTCACCTTGATGGCTGGAAGTCTTCCACAGTCCGCTTCAAGGACACTTAAGAACTATCGAACTGTGGAATCGACTCCCGGTGGAGGTCTTCCCTGAGATATACGAATTCCAACTATTCAAAGTTACTCTAACTTGCAACGCACCCATTAAAAATGGGTTTCCATCGGCTACGATTACTGAACTTTTTGGGCTCGTTTGCCCCTCTGTTATATAAAAAGAGCTCATAAATTAAAACTCTGCATCTACTACCGCGTTTACCGTGGTGAGTATTCAGAGGAGTTGTTCGGATTAATATCTGCAGCTGAGTTTCGTCAGACATCGAGGCAGAATATAATTGCCGCGCACCACCACTGTGTGGAACCAGCTGCACACTGAAGCATTTCCAAACCACAGGGGGTAAACGGGCAGGAGGCTCACTCGATGTTAAGCGATACCGCCGCCCATGGAAAGTCTCAATGCCAGAGGGTTCGATTATGATAATAAGAAATAATTTGGTGAACTGTGGAGCTGTGGAATCCCACTGAAGGTTTTCCTGATGAGCTGCGGTAGCTGATTTTAAAGTAACCGTCTTGTTGGCCTATGCCCCCAACCTCATACAAAATATATTTTTCAATGCCAGTCTTTGCTAAGTGAAACTAAATAATTTATTATAGTAAATGTAGCGGACCCGACTTATAATTAACTAAAAAATATTTCAGAAACAAAGTGTTTATTTTATTCTAATGCTTTGTTTGTTTTTCTGGCTGGCTATATATAATTATTTTATATGTATTTTGTCAATATAATAACTCCCATCGAAGCATTTGTTTTAAACGGTATCCATTTTTATTACATCCTCTTTGACGATATTTGCAGCACGCATTCTGTTATGTCAAACGCCATAAGGTTACATCAAAAAAAGTTTGAATTGTATGGTGGTTAAGTATTCCTAATTTTTTTAATTTTCCGCGCAATTTTCTTAATTTTTCTTTTATAAGAACCTTCTCCGGACAAACACAACAAAAAAAAAAGTAGCGAAGTCGGTCCAGCCGTTCACGCGTGATGCCGTGACCAAGGGAAATAAGGATCTTGTTGAATTCATTTTAGTGTTGTATTTATTTTTAATTATTACGATAGTAAAGCATTTGGACATTACTTACCTCGTCATCGAAGGCGACGTTGTCCGCCATTGTTCTCTGTTTAGTCAAACGATAACAGCTCCAATGGTGTAGTTATTTGCGTTGGACATTCTATAACAAAATTTTTAGATAAGAATGATATTCACAAATCAAATATAGTTTATTCATGTAGTGTCAACCAGGCACCTCTTACTCGAATTTTGACATATTCGGTAATGGGCCGAACAATTTTAAAATAAGCATTGTGTTTATTTGCCTTGCGATTCTGTAACTCACTTTTCGAACTCACACAGCCGTTTTGCACAGTGGCGGTCGCGCTCAAATCAGTCGTGAAGCAGTTATTTTATGATTTGGCATTCTGATAAACAATAAACTACAAGCTCCCTCCTTATCTCCTTATCTATTCGAAAAGTGAGTTACAGAATCGCAAGGCTGATCCTAATCCGCTATTTGGCGAGTAATGCTTTTGTTGTATTTTGATTATTTTTACTTTTTTGTAACATTTATACCATAGTTTTTCTAAAATACATGACAATAATTTAATAGAAAAAGGCAGGAAGGAAAGGGCAGCCTTACCCGATGTTAAGTGATACCGCGCCGCCCATGGACGCTCTAAATGCCAGAGGGCTTGCGAGTGCGTTGCCGGCCTTTTAAGAATTGGTACGCTATTTTCTTGGAGGACCCTAAGTCGAATTGGTTCGGAAAAACTTCAGTAGGCAGCTGGTCGCAATAGTAGTGATGCACGCCAAAAATTGCCTTTAAAAACGCACAGTTATGGAACGACGGAAGTCGAGGTGATGCGGGTGGAATTTCAAATAGCGTGTATACACATACTGTAGATAAAAGATAATACATGTTATATGGTATACTTTAATAAAGAAATACACTTATGATCAATACCAATCAAGATGACCAATCACTAATTGATTTACATTTAATCGATACGACAATAGAAAGTATTTTTTTAGCCGATTTATAGTTAAGACATTAACTGAAAGAGTCATTCGCGTCAATTGTTAATTAATAATCGAAAGGATTTTAGATGCAAGGAAAGGATGCGATACCTTTCTAAATCGTTACCAACATAGATTTCGTTTTTTTAGTGCATTTTGATATGCGTGCGAACGGCTATGTTGGTGATCTACGGAAGTTATAGATAGATAAATAGTTTTCGTATGCAATTTCGATTTAGTTCATTTATACCTAGCGCTGATGTCATCTTGAGATCACGCGGTAAAAACTGCTGTCTAGAAGAAACTGCTTTTAACAGTAAGATCCATTTACATTGTTATCGTTTATTTAAATAAATAAATAAAAATGAGTTTATTAATTTTAAGTAGATATGCATTACAATGTGTAAGATTTGGGAACCCTTTTAAGTAAGAAATAACTGTGTCAGGGTTCCCAGCTCTTCCATAACAAACTTAATTATAAATTCCTTAAAATATATTTATATATAATGACGGCTCATTGGTCTAGTGGTTAGTACCCCTGACTGCGAATCCATGGGTCCCGGGTTCGATCCCCGGCTGAGACAAACATCGATGTGATGAGCATTTGGTGTTGTGCTTAGGTCTTGGGTGTTTAAATATGTATTTATATGTCTATTTATCTATAATATGTATGTATAATGTATATCCGTTACCTAGTACCCATAACACAAGCTTCACCAGCTTAGCATGGGACTAGGTCAATTGGTGTTGATTGTCCAATCAAAAAAAAAAAAAAAAATATATAATCTAATTACATCTTTTATTTAGTTTACTTTTCAACTGTTATAAACACGCCTGAGTGCATGAGTGAGTGTGTAGGTGCAAATGCGAAGTGAGTGAGTGGAGTGAGTCAGTCAGTGAATAAATTTAATCTAATTTTTATTCTGTTTTGTGTTATTGTCGTATAAATAAAGTTTTATTATTTTTATGATGTTTGGTAACTGTTTACTTTTAGCAGAGCAGTGTTGGCCTAGTGGCTTCAACTCATCCCTGAGGTCGTAAGTTCGATCCCCAGCTGTTGACAGGCTTTATTTTTTCGCATTTAACAATCGCTCGAACGGTGAAGGAAGACATCGTGAGGAAACCGGCTAGCCTTACCCAAAAAAGTCGACGGAAAGAAGGGTTATCACCTACTTGTCTATTAGACAAATGATCATGAAACAGATACAGAAATCTGAGGCCCAGACTTAAAAAAGTTGTAGCGCCACTGATTTTTATTTTTTAACTAAATTTAGCTAAAAAGTTAAAAGTAAACACTTATTACAACAACAAGTTTGGGTCCCTATCGCTATATCGAGTTTTAGTCTGGTGATTTCTCTCGCCCCGTGCCAACAGGCATTTCAATACGACCTCCAATTAAATTATGACAAAGGGTTCTTAACTCAAAGTAATTCATTTTCACCCATATAAAAGTTCTTTACTTTAATTACCCGCATTATGCGAACTTAAAATCTACGTTTTAATTAAAACGTCAGTTGTGGTTTTATGATTAATGGTTCACAGCATCCGTTTAAACACGTAAAGCTGGCAAGCTATCGCAAAATATTAATTGAGAAATAAATACGTTTTGAATAGTGTACCTTAGTGGCAAATATTGCTGATTGATCAGGTTTCCTGGGCTTCACGCAGTCTATTTTTTGGTCGATGACAATTCTACTAGTTTGTGTAATATTCACGAGAAAAGCAATACGTCCCAATAGATCCCAATAAATTACTTACGTGGCGATGAATGAAAACGGAATACTTGGAATATATTGGACGACGTTCAGTTTCAACGACGGTCATTTGGAAGGAAAGGCTAAACTAGCAATAAGCTTGGTGTGCAGCAAGGCAAGACGGTACTTAACACCGGTTAATCGCTTGAAACTGTATAAAGCGCAAATATGGCCCCACGTGGAAAACTGTCCTCACCTCTGACGGAAGCTCTCCAGTACCAGCTCCTTCCACTTGACCTTATTCAAGGAAGAGCCATTCGAATCGTCAACAACCAGTCCCTATCTGAGCGACTTCCCTTCCGAATCACTTGGCGTTGCATAGATGGCGTGCGATGCGTCTCTCTGCATCGTCTACCGCATTTACCACGCAAAGTGTTCAGAAGAATTGTTCGGATTAATACCTGCAGCTGAGTTGAATCATCGGACGTTGAGGCATAATACAAAATTCCACCTCGAAGTCCATCGTTCCACAACTGAGCGCTGATTAACCAATTCGACTTAGGGTCCTTCAAGAAAAGAGCGTATCAATTCTCTGACGGACGCTAAGTTGAATAGGTTCGGAAATACTTCAGTGGGCAGCTGGTTCCACATAGTGGTGGTGCGCGGCAGAAATTGCCTTAAGAAACGCTCAGTTGTGAAACGACGGACGTCGAGATGATACGGATGGTATTTTGTATTCTGCCTTGACATCCGAAGATAAAAATTAGCAGGTATAAGGAATAAGGAATACCTGCAGGTATTAGTCCGAACAACTCCTCTGAAATCGGAATGATTTAATGAATAATGATGGTAGGTAAGACAGCGATTTCTCGATTTATTTCGAGGTGTCGTGATGATATTCAGAAATAAAAGAAAATAAATCTTTCTTCATAAATATTTTGATCGTGTAATTTTGCTGGCTGTTATGGCACGCAGATATAATAAATCAAAAATTATTTTTATCGCGCTGGTGGGTTGTTTCATAAAAATGGTCTTTTGTTTCTAAATATTAGATACGAGATTCTTAAAATATTGAAATAGTGTTTGTGAGTTACTTTCTTATATTATTTCTTATATACAATAGATTATTATTATATTTTATTATTATATGTATTATATTTTAATTAATTTAGGTTCTGCCGTAAAATATTTTTTAATAAATAAATAAATATTTCGTGTGGTCCATACGCAATAAGTGGTCCACTAGCTAAAGAAATCATTATAAGTTAGAAATTGATTAGTCTGATTCATAAACTATAAACCTAAATTAACTGATAAATCATTTTTCCTTACACTTTTGCGTCGTGCGTGAAAATGTATTAATTAAATGAGGTATACTACGATTTTAAAGTTTTTTTTATAATAGTGGCTCGTCCCAGCTTCAATACGGTAGTATTAATTTTGAAAATATAGCCAATGTACATAGGGATTATCTAATGTTAATACGATGGCATGCGGCCGGATGGAATGTCGGTGATCCCTTGGAAAATGGGACGGGCTTTATTTATTTATTTATTTATTTTATTTATTTACACTTCGTTGCTAATAATATAAGAAACACAATACATAAAAATTATAAGGGATGCAACGGGCGGCCTTATCGCTAATAAGCGATCTCTTCCAGGTATCCCTAGTTAAGAGAAAAACTAAAAAAAAAAAGACACATGATGCGTGCGAGAAGTGCAGAATCCTTAATCTAAAGTAATACAAAAAAAAATATTAATAACAAACTAAAAACTTAAAAACTAATCTGTGATGTAAAAGGAATCATAAGAATTATACAAGTCATGATTGATGAGGATAGGATAAGGTTAAGAAATGATTATACAGAAGAGTTTTAAAAGATGACAGAGAGGTAGCCAATCGTACGGAGTCAGGCAGCGTATTCCACAACACACCATATTTTTAAAGAACTTTCAGCTGGTGCGTTGGAGACCTAAAAGATCTCGTAACAAGCCTATCCTCTGTCGTTTGAGACCTAATCAGTCTCCTAAAAATACACTTTTGAAAATAATTTATATCTTCCAAAAAAACAATGACATATATTTTGAATTTTTAGTGGGTGAAAGATAGCAAATTGCTTTATATTTTTCCCTAGGTTCGCACGCAGTTACGACATTTGAATAAACTACAAATAACAAAAAAAAATTAGATATCGATTGTATCTCGTACCGCACCCGAAGATAGTTCAATATGTGTAGTAAGTAGTGATGGGAATAAAATAATATCTCAGTTATCGATTCTAAAAGTTTTATTAATTTTGCAAAGTGTTTTTCATTAAAACATGGTAAGCACATTGATTGCTTGCACATTACGCGCAAATGGTAACAATTCGTTTAGTTTTTAGAAGCGTCAGTGATGTTTA